CATACAAAATGAAGACAGCCCATCCAGAATACACGGTGTATTGGCTTAATCGATAATATCACTATGTATGTTATCATCTGCACCTGCCCCTATCCTTAAGTGTGTTTAACCTCTCTGGGCCCTGAGCCTTCATCAACAAAAGAGATGGTGACAGGCCTGACCCTCAGGGACCCTCAGGGCTTTGGGAGAACCAAGGAACTGGCACAGAATGCGATTGGTCATTAGCCTGTGGTGTCTTCCAGCTCCCTCATCCTTACCCCGCAGTGACTTCCAGCTCCCCCATCCTTTCCCCGTGGTGTCTTCCAGCTCCCCCATCCTTACCCCGCAGTGACCTCCAGCTCCCTCACTGTTAGCCCGTGGTATCTTTCAGCTCCCCCATCCTTACCCTGCAGTGACTTCCAGCTCCCCCATCCTTACCCTGCGGTGTCTTCCAGCTCCCTCACTGTTAGCCCGTGGTATCTTTCAGCTCCCTCATCCTTACCCGACAGCGACCTCCAGCTCCTTCATCCTTAGCCAGTGGCACCTTCCAGCTCCTTCATCCTTACTCTGCCGTGTCTTCCAGCTCCTTCATCCTTATTCGTGGTGACTCCCAGCTCCTCCCATCCATGGAGGCCTCTGTTCAGGACCTTGCATTTGCCTCCTCTCACAGGGACCTATCAGGTTTTGTCTCCCAGCTCCTGCCTCAAGGCAGCCCCTTCTGCTCCTTTTTCACAATGAACACACACAGTGGGTGGGACCTGACACGGAGGCAGGACCAGATCCATGTAGGGCTGGGGCTTGGTGGGTGGCGGGAGACGAGCCCTGGGTGGGTGTCCCGACGCGCTTCCCCGTGCAGTGTCCATCACCTCCAGCCCCAGCACAGAGGCTTCTTTCTTCAGTCAGTTGGTGGTGGATGTCGCTCATCCCCATTCACGGTTAGCACACGGAGGCTCTGGGGCACATGATGACCAGCATCACAGAGCTGCTCACTGCTGCGCAGGGCCCCCAAACCCCAGAAGAAGAGCCCCTCGTGACCCTCCCCTCAGTGGAAGGAGCATTAGTCTGAGGGATGTGAGGGTGGGGAAAGAACAGTATTTGAGTGGGACGAGCAGATGGCTTAATGGTTACGTCACTGGACTCCCACATAGTTGACCATAGTTTGAGTCCCGGACCCGGCAGCTTAAAACACACCCTGGGTGCTTGTGCGCCCCAGAGGAAAACAGAGGAGAAGGAACTGTGGCATGGCCTTCCCTCCCAGTGGGTGATTTATCACTTTCTGTCTTTCTGTCTCTTTCTGTCTCTCTGGTGACTGCACGTGCCCTATAGCAAAAACAAACAAACAAACCATTATCTGCGCAAAGTGAAGAAGTCTAGAAGATTCTACATGTCGGGGTGTGGAGGAGCCATTAGACTGCAGGGCAGCTTGGGAGGGGGGGTCCCAGCTGAGGCTGGTGGCCATGATTTGCTGTGCCCATCACCTCAGGGAGAGCTGCGGGGGGGGGGTTCCCAATAATAGGGACAGAAGTAATCACCAGCGATGACTGACACTGTTGTGTTGTGACTCTGGCCCTACATGGCCACCCCCTCTTTCTTTCTTTCTTTCTCTTTCTTTCTTTCTTTCTCTCTCTCTCTCTCTCCCTATATACCTACTTCCCTTCCTTCCTTCCTTCCTTCCTTTCTCTCTCTCTCTCTCTTTCTCTCTCAAAAAGATCTCCTTTTAGCATAAACAAGGGTCTTCTGTTTAATTCTCTTCTATTTTATTTTTGGAAAAAAAATTGGTGGCATTTGGACTGTTGGAAAACACTGCCCCCCTTCCCATGCCATTCCTGGCACGGCCAGTCCTGCTCTGTCGCTCTTCCATGTCCTGCTCAGCAGGGAGGCCCAGGGGAACACAAGGGTTCGCTCATTGCATGCATCCACTCACTCACTCACTCACTCACTCGCATGCACACCCTGACACAGCCGCACACTCACACTCGCATATACCCACACTCATCCACACTCACCCACACACATGCACCCATACACTCACACTCACACATACACACACCCTCACTGCATTCTGATACCAGATCTCCAACGCCCCCACCCAGGCATCCAACAATTCAACTTGGACATTACCGACCCAGAGGTAGTGCAGAGCCCACAGCTAAAGGACAAGGTCCCCCATCCACAGGCGAGATCCCAAGCCATCTGCACTCCTGTCCTGCTTGGCTACAAACTGGGGGACCCTCGTGACCCTCGGTTTGATGTGATAGAACTTGTAGAACTCACTGAGGGTGTTATCCTCACACTCACAGTTTGATTACAGAGACTTAGGAACTACCAGTGGAGGAGGAGCACAGCGGTCTTAGCCAGGGGTAGGGAAGAGGGAGTGGGGCCCAGCCGGGGCATCACCCTCCAGTCAGGAGGCACCTCTGAGGGCTAAGCCCGGAGGGTTCCTTGAGTTTTATTTCATGGCCATGTGACGGAGTCCAGTCTCCTTTCCAGAGGGCAGGGTGGGGCTGAAATTGCCAGCCTCTGATCACGCGCCTGAGCCCTCTGTGGCCAGCCCCTCCCTGGAATCCCCGGCCTGCCAGGTCACCTGCTCACGTGAGCTCAGGTATGTCAAAGGGGCATAGAAAACAAAAGCCACTCTGCACTGCTGTGGGGAAAGCCCGCAGGGTTCTGAAGCAGGTCAGGATGGGAATGAAGACCAGCCCTCTGCTTTTATTATGCCGTACGCCTGTATGCCCGCACACTCATCTCACACGCACTCACTTCCCCCATGTCTGGTTCCCTCATCGGCTGGATAAGGAAGCTGCTGGACTTTGAACCTCTGAAGAAGAAGCAAAGACACCATGCCCTGGGGCAGCTCAAGGGCTGGGGAGGCTCAGTGATCTGCAGCCCTCAGTAGGGTGAGGCCCTGTGGGAGCCAGGCGCCATCTCTGATGGGGAGCGAGTGCTGGCTCCAGGGGCAAGGACTGGCACCAGTGACTAGCAATGAGCCGACATGCGGGGCCCCTGAGCAGGACCAGCTGGCGTCCCCGCACCCCTGCCTACTTTGCATTTCTGCTCCCAGCAGCACCCCTTCTATTTCCCCGTCTGCACGTCCCCCTGCCTGTCCTGCCGCGGACAGGATGACAGTGAGCTGGACGAACACCCTCCAGCAGGGAGAGGGTGGCTGCGTGCCAGGACTTTGAGTCATGTGCCCTGAGCTCGGATCTCAGCTCTGGCGCTTACTACTGTGTGCACCTGAGCTTTACACGCTGCTCGGCCTCAGTTTCCTCATCTGCGAAATGGGGTCATATAGCCCCCTCCTAAGATCTAATTAGAGGATTCAGTGAGATCACAGAATCTAAAGTTTTGGGGATCAAATTAGGGAGGTGACAAATAGTTGCCATGTTTTAGTTTTTTACATAGGGTGTGTGTGCTCTCCAGAGAGAGACAGAGAGAGAGAAAAAAGGTGAAAATCATCCCCCTCCACACACACACAGAGGGGATGGCCACACCACAATCCTTTCTCCTCCATTTCCCCTTGGGATTTTGGGCACACATGACCACACACCTGATGTGAGTTTCAAGCAGCTGGGTCTGGGACTCAAACCACACAGTTGACCATGTGGCATTCAGCACCTTAACCCCCATGCCATCAGCTGGCTTGTTAGTTGCTATTAACCAACAATAGTGGTGGTGTTCTAGTGTTTTGCGCACAATGTTATATTCACAATTAAGTATATAATAAGAGTGCTGTATTAACATTAGGAATCAGCAGGGCAGCAGAGCCTCCCTGCACAGGGCCGGCTCAGGCTACAGGACACTGCAGAACAAGGGTTCGTGGGGGCCAGACGGTGCCTCAGCAGTAAAATAGGAAGCTCCGTGAGGCTGACCTGCAAGAGAAGGTACCTGGTTCAAGTCCACAGACCTGAGTATATGGAGCACACACTTACCCATGATCCGGAGCTGCCTGACGCAGGGGGTGGATGGACCCTATTAGGGGTGCTGTCTGTCTCTCTTTCTTATAGGAGAAATAAATACCCCCAAAAAATAAGGGTCTGTGAAAGGCAAGCAGAGAGTCCCCATGACTGCTCTGAAGAGCGCACTGTCCCTGGGGACCATCGCCGGAAGAGAAGTGGGGTATCTAACTATGCCGGCTCAGGCTTTGACCTCAGTTAGTGCTGGGTTACTAGAGCACAGACACACCTTTGAGCCCGGAGGCCTCCAGTGATCAGAACAGGGCATGTCCACAAGAGAAGGTCTGCATGAGGGGCCTCGGAGCATGGAGGTTTGGGACGTTGACCCCAGCATCCGGGACTGGATCCCAGTCCGCCCCTCATGGTCTGAGACCTCAGCCAGGCCACATCCTTCCAGGAATTACCTCAGTACAGCAGCCTGGGGGCGCAGGGGCCCGTTGGGATCAGAGTTTCAGCCTCAGTTTCCGCACCTGTCAAATGGGGATAACATAACTCACACCATGGGGTAGCTGACGGGAGGAAGCTGAGGCATGCAAAGAATTGTAGCAGGTCCTGCCGCGGAGAGCTCTCTATATTAAGTGTTAGCTATTTTTATTTTTCGAGGGGGAAAATGTGTGAATTGACTAATATCTGCAGTTGTTCCAGAAGCCTCCCCCAGCACACGAATGCCGGGTGTGAAATGAAATTTACCCTGGCTCCCGTACATTAGATCTTTTTCTAAATGTGGACCCTGGACCACTCACATGAGAGCCAGCTACGAGCTTCACCTGTAGACCCTGCATCTCAGGGGGCAAGGGCTCAAGAGTCTACACCCCCTGTGCCCACAGACTGTCTACAACAGCCTTCAAGAAACATGATTTAGTGGAGCTGCTCAGCGGGCACATGAGAAAGTAAGACCCAAGGAGTCTTACTGATCTGGGCATGGGCAGGACCCCCTAGCTCCCCTGCAGGATGCTTGACAGCCCCACCCTGCCTCCTTGCTTCAGGAACCTTCTGGTGACTTCTGTTGTCCTTCTAGCCTCCATGCAAATCCTGATTCATGGAGCTCCCTGTCCTCTTCGCTTTCAGATGTTCCTGGTCCGCAGGGACAGCAGCTCGAAGCACCTGGTGCTCTGCGTCCACTTCCCTTCCCGGAGCGAGAACGCGGCTGAGGTGCTCGAATACACCATTAAAGAAGAGAAGTCGAGTAAGTACGGCTCGTCCCCATCCTGGTTCTGACCACGCAGCCGCGGAGGCAGATGCTAACCACAGACTCTCCTGTCTTCACCGAAGTGTCTAAAATTAGAAAGGGGGAAAAACTTTCGGTTCACTGAAGTTACGGAACTAGGCTTGTTTTGAACTCAATTCGTCACTCAAAAGCCAGCGTTCATTTCCGTTCCCCTCGACACGGCTTGTTGGCTTTGCTTTCTCGCAGTCACAGCTGAGTCTCCTCATGTAAGCTCAGCACAAGGAAGGTGGAGAAAGGGAAGAAAAGGAGAGGGGAAGTCTGGTCACGTGGGCCCCGGGAGGAGTTCAGCGGACAGATAATCACTGTCCTGCTCATATCACAGAGCTTTCATGAGGGTCCGAATTCTTGTGTGTGCATAGATGCAGTCCAAGGCCGCAGTGGAGGGATGTCTTGGGTCCTCCAGTCAAAGACGGGTTTGTACTGGTGTGCAGCGTTGCTGGGTTTGGGCCCCTCTGGACTACTGGGCTCAGCTATTTGCACAGGCTTTCCCCCTGCTCTCATAGGTCATGTGTGCACATGTCAGGCATTAAAACCCCCAACGTCTGCTGAAAGATTCCATAGAAAGTTCCAAAAACTATCTTGCATCCTCTTACAAATGAATCTAGTGTATTACATGAGGCTTTTAACCCTTGGTTAGCAGCAGAGTGACAACTGCTGAAAAAAAGCTTCATTAAAGATTCTTGGGGCCAGGAGATGGCATAGCGGTTATATCACTAGACTCACATGGCTGACCATGGTTCAAGTCCCAGATCTGGTGACTTGAAAATCACACTGGGTGCATGTACACGCATGCACAAAAATCCCAGGAGGACATATTCTCACTTTTTGTGTCGATAAAAACGCGGTGTGTGTGTGTGTGTGTGTGTGTGTGTGTGTGTGTGTGTGTCTAAAATCCCAACAGGATGGAGAAATGGAAAAGGGATTGCAGTATTATTAGGAAAAGAGCCCCCCCCATGGGACTTTTCTTCATCTGGGTAAATAAAAGCACAAGTCCAACAGAAAACACATCTCATTGGGGAAATCAGTTGATTGACCTCTGACTACCTGGAGAAGGTCGGCTTGCAGAATACCCTCTGCCCATAACTCTTTTCTGTTATAGATTAGTTCCACCTGAAGGCTTGCATTTGGCATCTCCGATAGATGTGCTCTTCCAGGACAACTCGGCTTGGCTCAGGCACCCAGGTTTGGCTCAGAGTGCTTGAGTCCTCTCAGGAAGGCGGTTGTCAATGTTGGTCCTTAATGCCTTGGGGCTATGTTTAAACCTCATTACACATCTACATGATTGTGTAGCAGAAGACCCAGTTTGTTTGGTTCTGTTTTCTTACAGAAGGTCAATATAGTAACGTGGCTGAGCGCATGCTGCGTGGATCTAGATGCTGAGCTTCAAACGTAAGCTCCGCCCCTTCTTAGCCATCAGAGCTTCAGCCTCAGTTTCCGCCCCTGTCAAATGGGGATAACATAACTCACACCATGGGGTAGCTGACGGGAGGAAGCTGAGGCATGCAAAGAATTGTAGCAGGTCCTGCCGCGGAGAGCTCTCTATATTAAGTGTTAGCTATTTTTATTTTTCGAGGGGGAAAATGTGTGAATTGACTAATATCTGCAGTTGTTCCAGAAGCCTCCCCCAGCACACGAATGCCGGGTGTGAAATGAAATTTACCCTGGCTCCCGTACATTAGATCTTTTTCTAAATGTGGACCCTGGACCACTCACATGAGAGCCAGCTACGAGCTTCACCTGTAGACCCTGCATCTCAGGGGGCAAGGGCTCAAGAGTCTACACCCCCTGTGCCCACAGACTGTCTACAACAGCCTTCAAGAAACATGATTTAGTGGAGCTGCTCAGCGGGCACATGAGAAAGTAAGACCCAAGGAGTCTTACTGATCTGGGCATGGGCAGGACCCCCTAGCTCCCCTGCAGGATGCTTGACAGCCCCACCCTGCCTCCTTGCTTCAGGAACCTTCTGGTGACTTCTGTTGTCCTTCTAGCCTCCATGCAAATCCTGATTCATGGAGCTCCCTGTCCTCTTCGCTTTCAGATGTTCCTGGTCCGCAGGGACAGCAGCTCGAAGCACCTGGTGCTCTGCGTCCACTTCCCTTCCCGGAGCGAGAACGCGGCTGAGGTGCTCGAATACACCATTAAAGAAGAGAAGTCGAGTAAGTACGGCTCGTCCCCATCCTGGTTCTGACCACGCAGCCGCGGAGGCAGATGCTAACCACAGACTCTCCTGTCTTCACCGAAGTGTCTAAAATTAGAAAGGGGGAAAAACTTTCGGTTCACTGAAGTTACGGGACTAGGCTTGTTTTGAACTCAATTCGTCACTCAAAAGCCAGCGTTCATTTCCGTTCCCCTCGACACGGCTTGTTGGCTTTGCTTTCTCGCAGTCGCAGCTGAGTCTCCTCATGTAAGCTCAGCACAAGGAAGGTGGAGAAAGGGAAGAAAAGGAGAGGGGAAGTCTGGTCACGTGGGCCCCGGGATCAGTTCAGCACACACTCATGCCGTGATCTGGGGCAAGCCACAACCTCTCCGAGCTTCAGTTTGCTCCTTGTCTAATGGACAGATAATCACTGTCCTGCTCATATCACAGAGCTTTCATGAGGGTCCGAATTCTTGTGTGTGCATAGATGCAGTCCAAGGCCGCAGTGGAGGGATGTCTTGGGTCCTCCAGTCAAAGACGGGTTTGTACTGGTGTGCAGCGTTGCTGGGTTTGGGCCCCTCTGGACTACTGGGCTCAGCTATTTGCACAGGCTTTCCCCCTGCTCTCATAGGTCATGTGTGCACATGTCAGGCATTAAAACCCCCAACGTCTGCTGAAAGATTCCATAGAAAGTTCCAAAAACTATCTTGCATCCTCTTACAAATGAATCTAGTGTATTACATGAGGCTTTTAACCCTTGGTTAGCAGCAGAGTGACAACTGCTGAAAAAAAGCTTCATTAAAGATTCTTGGGGCCAGGAGATGGCATAGCGGTTATATCACTAGACTCACATGGCTGACCATGGTTCAAGTCCCAGATCTGGTGACTTGAAAATCACACTGGGTGCATGTACATGCATGCACAAAAATCCCAGGAGGATAATGGAAGAGAAAGGATTGTGGTGTAAAAAAAAGGAGAAGGGATTGCGGCGTGACCATCCCCCCTGGGGGGGTGATTTCTCGCTTTCTGTCTCTATGTCTCTCTCTGTCTCCGGCAAGTGCACACACCCAGTGGGCAGAAATTTTAAAAAATAAAAAAGGAAAGATCCTCAAGAGCTTGGAAGAAATTAATAAATTCTCAGGAAGCATGCAGACACTGGGAAGATGCAAACATGAATGAGAAAAGGTTTCTGGCTTCAGGGGTCTTTGGTCTGGTGAGGTGGAGTTCATGCTGGGGCTAGATAGTGAAAGTAAAAGCATCTTCCTCTTCCTGCTGTAAGGGGTTGGGGACAGGAGTGTCTTTCTATGAGACCCAGACCCACACAGAATGGGTAAGACACAGCTCAGTCATTCCTGCATCCAGCAGACAGTTATGGAGCGTCCACTCTATGATAGCATGGTTCTGCTGTTGAGCCATAGCAGGGACTGAACACAACTTCTGTTCAGGTGGAAGAGGTGACAAAAACAAGTAACAGTGTAGGTGGCTATCTGCTAGAGATGTCCAGAGAGGACATGGAACATGGAGGACAAGTAGAATGGCTTAGACCTAGAAGCTAGTTTCTGCTCACAGGCAGTATTTCCGCTCATTCAGGGACCCTGACTTGCAGAGGCTGCTCTGCCCTGGGCATGCAGCTTCCTGTTCTCCAGGGCCAACTGCAAGCCAATAGGCTGGAAGGAGAAAAAGCATGGAGGACACTTATGGGCAGGTCAAAAAGCCTTGAAGTAGGCGTGCCTCTTGTACTCACATTCCATTGGCTAGTATTTGGTCATATGACCATGCCTAACTGCAAGGGAGACTGGGAATGTAGTTCAGCAGTGGGCCCAGGAAGAAGCGGGCCTGGATTCTGGAGAACTGCTGGGAGTCTGCTCATTGGGAAGAGGGCATCTGGTGTGTGGGCCTGGGGAGAAGGCTGAGTATTTATATAGCTAACTTAAATGACCTCTCTGTCCTGTGGAGTCCAGTGGGGAAAAAAGTAGGGGATTCTCAAAGTGGGAGGAGAATGTTAGGGTTTTAGACCAAGTACCTTTTGATAATTACAGAAAGGGTGGGGTTGTTTGGGGTGTCCACTGTGTGGAGAACCTGTGTTCTCATCTGGCCAGGGGAAGGTGTTCTCAGTGGTTGCCTCTGAGACCACATGGACCATGGGTGTGCTTGTGGCCCAAGAGAGAGGTGACCCCAGCCTATTATGGACTGGTGGGGCCAGCCTCTTGCTGTGAGTAGCCAGGCTTTTGGGACCCGGTTGCCTGACATTCATTGCCCGCAATCCTTTAGAATCTGTGTTCTGGAACTTTAGACCAGGTCAGCAAAGCAGCTGCAAGTGGGGAGAGGTGCTGTGCCCTTCAGCCCTGTTCTGGGAGCTGGAGCATGGAGTGTTGTTCCAAGGCAGGGCAATCAAGACTGCTTCTTGGAGGAAAGGGGAATTGAGGCAGACCAGCAGGCTTTCTGGAAGGTCTGCTTTTCTCCTTTGTCCCAGGCTCCTTTCCCACCTCCCACCCCAGTCTCTGAGGTAATCACTTCTAGGTCGCTCAGACCATGTACAGCCCTTGGCCACCACGATGGCCTGTCTGGTTTCAGGTCTCATTTCCAATTAGGAACGTGTCAAAGAAAAACCAGCACCGGATGGTTCTTAGAGCAGTAGAAATGGTTTTGTTTTTGTTTTTGTTATTTTCAGAATTATTGCAACAGGGAAAAGGTCACTGGACTCAACTCTGAACCCAGCATGGACCAGTGGGATTGATGGCCAAAGAGCAGGGTGGGGCAGTGGCTGGAAAATTCCTAAGAAACAGCAGGGGTCGGGGGTGGGTTCTTACTAAAGGCAGGC